ATTTCTCTACTAATTGGAATTTTCTCTTACAGCTTGAGCCTAAGTGTGTCGCAGGATACCCTCTAGGTGATAGTTCTTGATTACTTTTTGATAATTAATTCCTTCTTATTGCGAAATAGGAGCACTGTTTATCAATCTGTAATAAAAGACGTGCGGAAATTTGAAGACAAAAATTTTTGAGGCGAAATACCCAAAAAGAAGTTCGTAAAAAAGTATTTATTTAGGCACGTTCAAAGCTGCCTTAAACTACTTTTTATCCTCAGTAAAGTATCTAAAATTTATTATTTCATAATGGCACACAAAAATATATGCAAAAATAATTCAAAACAATTAGAATGGCGTGTAAGTGCATTGTTGAACTCTTCTTGTTCAATCCGGACTTGGCACCCCATCCTCTCAGGCAAAGCGGAAGATTTTGAAAAATAAAAAGTAAGACATAATTTAGTTTTTAACTTTGAGAATTAATCAAAGCTTTAACCCAAGGTTTGTTGATTATGCTTCTAAGAAAGGAGGAAATTCATCAGTATCAACTGAAATATTCTGCAAATTTTTGCATCCGATATCTCTAACCAAAGATGCACTTATTTAACCGGTTAATGGATTTCGAACGCTAATTATCCCGTAGTTTGTACTCAAGAGATTAACGTGAGAAAAATTGTCTTAGCCGTATATCAACGTCACAATCATTTCTAATATACAGGTAGAATAAACAACTACATAGTGATTTAACGCCTGCTGGATTTCTAAATTCATAAATTATAATGCAGTGATTTACACTATGTTATAGTTTCCATTCAAATGCAAATATACACATTGTTGGACTGGTTTATCTTCACAGGATTATCGATAAGACACTAGCTTGTGAAATATCTCAAGTAGGTCAATACCTACTGCCTATAACCTATATAAGTAGCAATCAAAGAAGCTTAAAGTGTGAGATTTATTTTTCTTAACGCGGAACCAGGGCAAGCTTGAGAAGTAGTACAATAGAAATCCCTTTTTCACAGTAACTGTTATTTATTATTCTTAAAGTACACTGTTTAATAATGTATGAAAATAGTGTACGGTCAATACAAAAATTGCTTTATTTGCTTAGTTTTCACTCGTATTCAATACAA